GATAGGATTGGATGGGATGGGGTGGGCTGGAAGGGGGGATCCTGGTACTGGGATGGGAGGGGTCTTGACAAGGTGGGGTCTTGGTAATGGGGTGGGATGGGATGGAAGGGGTCTTTACATTGGGGTGGGGGTCCTGATATTGGGATGTAGGGGATCTTGGCAACTTGGTACTGAGATGAGATGGAGGTGGTCTTGACAGTGGGATGGGGGTCCTAGTAGTGAGATGGGGGGGCTTGGTACTGGGGAGGGGGTTCTGGCAGTGGGATGGGCTGGTCCTGATATTGAGGTGGGGAGGGGCTTCGTACTGGGGTGGCCTCAGCACTGGGTGTGGTCATCTGGGTAATGGGAGGGGAGTCCTGGTGCTGGGGAGGGGGTCCTGGGATGGACTGACTGTGGAACTGGGATGAAGGATGGGAATCCCAGTACTGAGATGGGGGTTCTGGTTACTCACTGGGATCGGGGACAGGGGGGGTCCCAGCACACGAGGATCCCCCCATGGAGGGCAGCGGGCGCCCCGTGGGAATCCCTGCATTCTGAGCACAGCCCAGATGGAGTGGCACCCCTCGTCCCGTCGTCCCCCCCCCTCCCCACCAACCCGGGGGGACACGGCCGTCCCCGAGCTGCCCGGTGCCGGGGGGTGGGGGAGGGCAAAGCGTCCCCTCCCACCCTCATTGTCGGCGGCGCTGGCGGCGTTTCCTTCCTGAGGAAGCGGAGCCCCCGGAGCCGAAACAATCAGAGCAGGACTGGAACAAACACAGGGGCGGACGCGGCCCCACAGCTCCCCCCCCCCTTCCCCGTCCGCCCATCGGGGGGCTGCAGCCTTTCCCCCCCCTTTCTCCCCTTCTCCATCACCATCACCACCACCCCCCTTCCCGTTCATCCCTGCAGGACCAGCCAAGGCTGCGTGCACATCCTGGTGGCACAGACCAAGGACCATAAATACACCCTGAACCAGGCCAGCGGAGGCTTTGCCAGCGTCCCCGAGGTCGTGCATTATTACTCCACCGAGAAGCTGCCCTTCAAAGGGGCCGAGCACATGGCCCTGCTGCACCCCGTGCACTGCAAGATGCATTAACTGCGCTGGGACTGCCCCCCCCCCCGGGTGGGGGGTCCCACGGTGTGTTGTCGTTGTCGTCCCCCCCCATCTGATGGGGTGAAAGTGGCTGCCGGACCTACTATGACTAAAGATAGGGGATGGTGTCCCCCCCTCCCTGGTTTGGGGTGGGGGATGCGCTGAGGTCGGGAGCTGTGATGGAGGTGTGAAATAAAGATGTTGGCTGAGAGGAGTGGGATGGGATGGGATGAAGTGGGATGGGATGAAATGGGATGGGATGGGATG